ACATACCCTTCGGCAAATTGTACAGAAGTCCGAGGAGTACAATTGGCCACTATGTCTGGCGTATGTGGACTATGAGAAAGCCTTTGATTCCGTCGAAATTTGGGCGGTGCTGCAGTCCCTTCAGCGATGCCAAGTTGACTGTCGGTATATCGAAGTGTTGAAGTGCTTGTACAGTAGGGCTACGATGGCTATCCGAGTACAGAACCAGAGTACGAAACCTAACCAATTGCAGAGAGGTGTAAGACAGGGTGACGTCATATCCCCGAAACTCTTTACCGCTGCATTGGAAGATGTTTTCAAGCTTCTGGACTGGAAAGGATACGGTATCAACATCAATGGCGAGTACATCACTCACCTTCGATTTGCCGACGATATAGTCCTTATGGCAGAATCGCTGGAGGACCTAAGCACTATGCTCAATGACCTCAATAGTGTTTCCCAACGGATAGGTCTTAAGATGAACATGGACAAAACAAAGATCATGTTTAATGTCCATGTCACACCTATGCCGGTAGTTGTTGGGAACACTAAGCTCGAAGTTGTTGACGAGTATGTTTACCTGGGACAAATAGTCCGACTAGGTAAGTCCAACTTCGACCGAGAGGTCAATCGACGGATTCAACTCGGTTGGGCAGCGTTCGGGAAATTACGGCACATCTTCTCGTCAGGTATACCTCAAAACTTGAAAACGAGACTGTACACCCAGTGCGTGTTGCCAGTGATGACATACGGAACTGAGACGTGGTCCTTCACTGCTGGCCGGATGAGGAAGCTCAAGGTCGCACAGCGAGCTATGGAGAGGGCTATGCTCGGAGTTTCTCTGCGTGATAAACTCAGAAATGAGGATATCCGCAGTAGAACTAGAGTCACCGACATAGCCCAACGGATTAGTAAGCTGAAGTGGCAATGGGCCGGCCATATAGCTCGAAGAACCGACAACCGATAGGGAAGAAAGGTTCTCGAGTGCCAGCCTCGTACCGGCAGGCGAAGTGTAGGGCGTCCCCCCACTAGATGGAGTGACGACCTGGTAAGATATGCAGGAAGTCGATGGATGCAGGTGGCTCAGGACCGTGCTTTGTGGCATTCTTTGGGGGAGGCCTATGTTCAGCAGTGGACTTGTGAAGGGCTGTAATGATGATGAATGATGATATAAATTTTTAATTATATATATATAATTAAAAAAGAATAATTTAAATCGCTTCACAAATATTTACGAATATATCCAAATACATATATACAAAAAAGTGGGGCGAGGGGAAATAGTCGAAAGTGGAACCACCTCGAACGATGTAAAGAATGCAATTAATAAAAACTCCTTGAACTATTTCTTCGACAACACTCATCATCATCATAAGCGATAGGCATAGGCGGTACAAGAATATTCACTAGCCCATGGAAACTGAAACAGGTGGTAGACAGAGTAAGTAAAACTGCGGTTACCAATCCACCTGCCAAGCGTGCCAACTATTACGGAATTCCCATTATGAGGCAATCTATTGGGCAGGCTATCTATTTTTTACGTGGTAGAGCCATGCTGCAGCTATATTAGTAGTATAGTTGTAGCACGAATGGGTCGGCTCGACCGGGGAATGACTACGCTCTCACAGAATATCAGCGTAAAATAGCAGCTTAACGCTGCTGTGTTTCGTATGGTGTGTGTAGAGAACCCGAGACCCTTTTTACTGGAAAAGAGGCATTCCGTCTTAGTCCTCACGGGTGACAACGTATCTGCATTTTGATTCATAACTGCGGATAGATGTAGATGTCTATGGGTCACGGCAACCACTTACCATCAGGTGGACTGAGGGCTCGTTTGTCACCCTAGACTATAAAGAAAGGCTTACTTACTTTGAGCAGTTGACTTATAAAGGCTTATTATAGTTAGCATAATATTATAACTCAATTAACAACAAATGCAATTTATTGATAGTTGGCATAATATAATAATGCAATTATATATATATATATATATATATATATATATATATATATATATATATATATACAATTCAAATGTTGACGAATGAGTGAATGCCACATGGAATAAAGTCGGCCCTAAGTACACATTTGATAGATTAAAATTTTAACATTTTGTGTTTTGCACGTGGTAACGCCACGCTGCATCTATTTTATGGTTGTAGCACCAATGGGTCGGCTCGACCGGGATAGGGCCACGCGCCAACAGAATACCTGCGTAAAATAGCAGCTTAATGTTACTATGTTCCATTACATTTTAGTCCCCAGGGGTGACAACGCTTCTAAATTTTGATTCTTAATCGAGGATAGATGTAGATGTCTAGGTTTCACATAATCCACTTACCATCAGGAAGATTGTGTGCTCGTTTGTCACCCTTATTCTATAAAAAAAAAACAAAATTATCTCCGAATAAATGCTATATTTTTAAGGTGTAACGCGTACATAACTTAAAAGTAAATATAAACACAAAAAAAATATCCTTTTTCCTGTTCTTTTTTCAAAAAAATTCTAATTTGAATTGTAATTTGATTTTCTTAATCTACATTGTTAAGCATGAAGTCCTTCAATTATGCTTCGAGTATACTTGTGCGGCCATATTGAATCTGCAAGGTTTGGCGCCGTCTCTCGCTCCCGCCATATCACCATACGTAGTTTAAATTAATACCGGAGAGTCAAAAACAAAATGCTTTGAACGTGATTAATGGCATTACAAAGGCTATACAATATATTAGGGCGGGCGTGGCTTTGACAGTCGGGGTGGTAAGAAATCGCAGGGGTGTTTAGACGGCGGCCCAAATTAAAAGCGATGTATCGACTTTTTAATTCTCCATATTTCCATATGCTTGTAAGTCATGACTGTTTTAGTGTCATGTCAAAGTGATGAAAATGAATAATTATGGAATCACTTCGGTGTTCGTTGGTCTGTCACAGGCGAAAACTATTTAAAAACATAAAGGCGTATTTTAGTGTGAGTGTTAAATTAAAGAAGTAAATTAGGATATAAAATGATAAAGTTTTCGATAAGATGGTGATAGCAAAGCAAACAATAAATTAATAACAATTAATTCGGAGTAAGGTAATCGGTGAACAGTAAACAATCGGAAGTCCAGTAAGTTTTATTTCATATATTAAATATCCTTATAAAAATAGTGAATTTGGTCAGAATTTTTATTTTCTATTAAAATGGGCAAATAATTACTTTTAATTTTTAACTAATTTATTTCCTACTGATTAGAAATAGTAAACTAAAATGTCGCGAGTTTAAATCTTTAAATAAAAACAAAAAAGTAAAAAATAAAGATATGTATTGCTTCAAAAAATTTATGGATATCAGAGTCAAGGTAGTTCAGATGGTCGTTTTTATTTCAGTAGAATTCAGAATTGTCCAAGAATACTTAAATCATGGCGCTGGTTATCTTCTGAATTTTAAGTGAGTTCTTACACCGAGATAACCTCGGCCACCCAGGTACTTGTAGTTAAATCTGATGATGATGATTTATCATTATTAAAAATAATAGGTAATAGGTAAAGTCTCATCCTTTTTTATCCTCAAAATATGATTTTCTCCCGTATTGTAGAGTTGTTTTACATACATAAATTGGACCGTGCAGGGTTCGAATCTGTGCGGGACATAAACTCTGCAGAGCAGTAACCAAACCATCGGTTACTGCTCTACGGAGCTGTTATTATGATGTCATTCTATATGTTACATATGGCGCAGTGGCCTAGCAATGAGTTTGAGTGATATTGCATCGGGGTCGAATTCAGTCTCAGAACAAGCATTTGTACGGCCTACAAATAATTGTACCGTGTCTGGATGATACAGATATGATGTCCTTGTGTAATTTATGTATGTAAACTGCCCCCACGATACAGGAGAAAATTTTAATGTGGAGGTAACGTTTTTCAAAATGACTAAAGGCTAAAGACTAAAATCTTTTTGGTATTGAAAAAAAATACTTTTTATCTGAGTACACGCTTCTGCTTATGACTCGTACCAAGACAATCAATCGAGAACACGCTCCCGTACTGTTTGTAATGGTGTTGTAATACGATTAGGGTGTTTAGCGTTTAGATTCCACGGTTTTATGTCGATTTGAGGCGTCTTTACTTAATTGAGTCGCAGCATTCAATAACGAGCTAATTACGCATAGACAATAAAATCGGTAGTTAAATGTTCGTCGATTGACATTTCTTTTTTTTAAATTTAGAGTGCATTGTTTTATCCATACATCCTTTAGAGTCTACACAAAATCCACTGCTGGAGATAGGTCGTCCCATAGATTGCCACTTAAGTAATATTTGTTAGATACAATTGCCAGCCTTGGCGGACGGGTTGGCAACCGCAGTTTTTTTTATTTTTTGCACCTGATCTCTCTCCGGTCGTGTCAGATTGCCGTCCCATCGATTTATGAGAGTGAGGAAATAGAGAGTTTTTTTTTTATAGGATAGGGTGACAAACCGGCACACAGTCCACCTGATGGTAAGTGGTTGCTGCGGCCCATAGACATCTACATCTATCCTCGTTTACGAATCAAAATGCAGATGCGTTGTCACCCGTGAGGACTAAGATGGAATGCCTCTTTTCCAGTAAAACGGGGCGTACGAAACACAGCAGTGTTATGCTGCTATTTTACGCTGGTATTCTGTGAGTGCACCTGTGCACTCACAGAATACCAGCGTAAAATGTTACTCATACCCTTAAAAATGTTACTCATACTCTCTGACACTATAACCCTGTCCTACGCAGATGGCTAGTCTCTGTTAAGACTGGCCGCTGTGACCGAAATTCAGTCTGGAGGACAGGATGATAAAGTGATGACCGAGTAAGACATGCAGGAAGTTGATGGATGCAGGTGGCTCAAGACCGTGCTTTGTAGTATTCCTTGGAGGAAGCCTATGTTAAGCAGAGGAGTTTTGATGATGATGATGATGACAATAACATCCTGCGGAGAAGTATATTCCCAATAATTATCATATGGTTAGTATACCAATTTAAAATAAAATTTGTGTTTTCTTTTAGATTACCGACAACCAATAATGGGTAATCCTTGGCCGATAGCGAAACCCATCGCCAGCAGACCGATACCAGTGCAGCATCAGCATTTGCAGCATCTCCTGGCGCATTGTCACCATCCATATTTAGCTGGTAAGATTGTTATCTTTATTTAGAAGGTCCTTTGAAAGTCCGATGGAGAGAATCCTCCACGCTGGTTTTGGACAACTAACAAATAACTAAAAGCTGCCAACTTTATTGCATGCGGCCATTAGTATGCTGGCCGTATGAGGAAGCTCAAGGTTGCTCAGCGAGTTATAGAGAGCGCTTTGCTCGGGGTGTCTCTGCGTGATAGACTTAGAAATGAGGATATCCGCAGTAGAACCAGAGTAACCGACATAGCCCAACGGATTAGTAAGCTGAAGTGGCAGTGGGCCGGCCATATAGCTCGAAGAACCGACAACCGATGGGGAAGAAAGGTTCTCGAGTGGCAGCCTAGGTAGGTGAAGTGTAGGGCGACCCTCCACTAGATGGAGTGACGACCCGGTGAGACATGCAGGAAGTCGATGGATGCAGGTGGCTCAGGACCGTGCTTTGTAGCATTTCTTGGGGGAGGCCTATGTTCAGCAGTGGACTTGTGAAGGGCTGTAATGATGAATGATGATAATGATGATTATTGCATAAGAGAATCCATTACCCCATATCATCTCGTGTCTGTCGTATGATTGTCTTGTCAGGATTATGCAGGAGAGAGGCAGCAACTTCCTGTGATAGCAACTCAGAATAACAACAAACTGCGGTTGCCAACCCATGTACCAAGCGTGGCAACTATGGAAAATATTCTTCTATGAGGCAATATATGAGGGAGGTTTTTGGTCAGTAGTGGAATTTTGAACAGCTGTAATGAATGAATGAAGAATACTGTAATGAGATTTACAATATTATTTTTTTACTTATTATAAGCAAGTGCTTGACCACAATCCCACCAGGTGGTAAGTGGTGATGTAGCCTTAGATGGTAAATCGTAACTTCTTATTGTAACAAAAGCCTATTCACTCTTGCCTTGAAGACGCCCAGATTGTATTCGGACGAAAACGTAGATTAAATACCTCATTTATCACACAGTATTGTTTAATTTTTATGCCAACCTAAATATAACATATGAAACAATCTATGGTGAGGTCCATGTTTTGCAGTGAATTTTAAATGGGCTGTAATGAAAGAAAAAATTTACTGCAGAAAATAATAAAGTCAGTAACATTTACGGTAACAAAACGGGGGCATTTATTTGTCCTGACCTAACCGTGCATGTATAAAGGCAAAAATGAACCGTGTATTAACACAGTTTATTTTTGCGTTTGCGTCGATGTTCCTTGTCCTGATGATAACGATAAAAATTTTATTTTATTTTATTTCATTTCGTCGACATTGCTGTATCCATTAGTCATAAATCACAATGATCCCTTACCATCAGGTGCGCTGTTTTATCTACTCTTATTAAACTGTGGCTGTATGTTTATACATAGAACGTTGAAAATTACAAATTATCACGATCAAGATGTCGTCCTATTCTTAGTAACGTATTGCATAACTAGTGTGATGCTATAAACTCAAGGCTTATCTATCTCAAATGATGCATTATTTCCTCATAAACTGTCGATTTATAAGATTATTGTTAACAGATAATAGATCGAAAAAATTTAAGTGGCATAAGATTCACTGCGTTTGCCTTAAATTCATCCTCCAAATTAAAAAAATAACAATACAACAACGGCCATTTTCAAATATCATCACCTCAAATTTACCACTTGCTAATGCGCCAAAAACGATAACTTTTTGTTATGCCCTTCTTGCATACTGCGAGAAAAAAAATTATACCCAGCTTTGTACTGAGTAGACAGTTGTTTTTTTTAACTATTCCTTTTGTGAAGATAAAAAATATAATTGGCATTTCCTATTTATGATTCTTTTATAATTTACTACCTTCGATTATCATGGAAATAATAATAATTATATTAACCTTTTTTTTTGCAATTATAGATATAGGTATCACTTCTTATTAATATAGATTAATCTCTATATATAAAAATTACGTGTCACATTGTTTGTCCGCGATGAACTCCTAAACTACTGAACTGATTTCAATGAAATTTTGCACACTCTGTGCAGTTTGGTCCAACTTGAGAGATAGGATAGTTTTTATCCTGATAAGTGACACTCAATATTTTTTTATTACGAATTTAAACATTTTTTATATAAAGGGTCGTCGAAAAGGGTAGAACAACATACTCCTGGCCAGCTAGTATATTAATATAGACTAACAAATAACATGAATTTCATTCACGGATTCCAAGTGTCTATAAAATCTTTAATAAACTTCATGAAGAATTAAAATCAGAAGAAAATAAATTAATTTATATTTACGAGACGTCTCAATCAAGATTGTCTCGAAAATTTCTTTGAAAAATCAGACGGACGTGTGGTAATTACCAGGAACTAACATGTCGACTAGTTAGTATTACCTACAATAAGATATTTATAACAAGACGAAACCACGATTTCGATATGTTATTTACGAAATGAGACGATTGTCGTATTTTAATACTACATCACCGGAACCTGACGATGTTACTGCTCCTGTGTTAACAGTAAGAACAAAAGATTACCTATTTGATTTGCCAGAAAAAAAAATGGTTTTGCTTGTGTCGGAATATTTGTATAGAAAATGTTATCTCAAACACCACAAATGTGAGAAAATAAAACTGTACATTAATAGATTTGAACAACGTATAAATATGTAAAAATATTCTTTTTTCACCCATTACAAGGATTTTAATAAATATAGTGTTCAATGGGTTTTTTTATGATACTTCCTGACAATTTTATCGCGTTTGTTGGATTACTCGAGCATAAATTTCGTGAATATTTTGAGCTCGAAAGAAACATTGTAAATATTGGTAGTGAAATATTAAAACGTGCCCAAGAGTTTATATTATATTTGTTATGAAATGCGAGTGCGGGATAGATTATTTAAAAAAAAATACATTAAATTTAGAATTTACGATTTAAGTAAAAGCCACAACAAATTGTTGAAGAACAATAATTATAAAAGTAAAATATTTAGAATACGTAGTTTGTAAAAAAACTATTATATCTTACGTATCTATTAGAACGTTTTGTTTATTTAATTTTATCCTCTTGTGTCAACCCTACCAAAATAGGTAAAAATTTTGACAGCTCCTTAGAAGCTTTGGCTCTGTACAGTTTCTTTACTCATGTGCTTGCACTAAATATGATATTTCAACTATTTCCACTGTACTTGTATATATAGAAGTCAGTGGATATTTCCCATAATCGTCTTTTACCAAGAAATAGATATAGAAACTTTTTTGTTTAATATAGATTATAAAAAAATAATTATTGAAAGTCAATTTCATGCTAAATTGACTGGTTCGGAAAATACCTATGTCTTGAAAAGAACCAGCAAGGAACGCAGCGGCAGACATTAAAAAAAAAAGATTCGCTTACAATCATTTAACCTTTTCGCTGTAAATGTAAATTAGCAATAACCTTGAAGTAGTGCACGGAGCACTACTTCAAGGTTATTGCTATTGTCTTACTATTGTGTCTGGAAACCGGAAAGTGAAAGTGTTAATATGTTCCATAATTTACAACACATAACAAATGTGAAATAGCTGAGATCACCTCATAGGAATATATTACTCCATACCGAGAGCAACTAAGAACGTCAACCGAACAAAATCGGTGACGTTGTTAGTTGCTCTCGGTATGGAGTAATTAATACACATCGGGGGTCGATGTGTATTAATTAATGTGTGCCAATTGGCAATAACTTAGAGACAAATAACTTAAATTAATAATTTGAAAATTATTAATTTAAGTTATTTGTCTCTAAGCCCCTGAAAAAAGACCTGATCCAACGGTTGGACAGATTTTCTTGAATCATAGCTAAGAACATTCTCGATCAAGTCACCTATCAACAAAAAAAACTTAATGAAAATCGGTGCGTTCGTTTGGGCGCTACGATGTCACAGGCAGACGCACAGATACATAGATACACAGACGCACAGATACACAGACACACAGATACACAGACACACAGATACACAGACACACAGATACACAGACACACAGATACACAGACACACAGATACACAGACACACAGATACACAGATACACAGACACACAGATACACAGACACACAGATACACAGACACACAGATACACAGACACACAGACACACAGACACACAGACACATAGATACACAGACACACTAATAAACAGACACACAGATACACAGACACACAGACACAGACACACAGATACACAGATAACCGTTAAACATATAACACCCTTCTGTTTTCGACGGGGGTTAAAAATGTAGTGATCGCCAATAAACCTATAATAATTAACATCTTTGATTATAACCGTTCATTATCATATAATTGTTATCCCTATACCTGTCTCTTTCTATTGTAATTTATTAAAAAGAGAGAAAGCATTTTTTAATTGACGTCATTTTTATAAGGCCTTTGTATAAATACAATTATTTTACAATCTCTACGTTTAAGCAAACATCAAATTTTACTTTATGAGCAGCGGGGAATGTTTATTTTAGGAGATTAACTCAGCGAACGTTTTGTGCATCTGTTTTTTATTTGTCCATCAAATTGGGCGTGTGAGGCCCAATTGAGCTTGTTATTTCACGGTTTTGTTACTGTAGCGATTTTCAACAATGGCGCGCTTGGGTTTTTGTTATCGAAAAAAAAACTTCGAAAATAATTGTCAGTTTTAGTCGAGTGTAGGTGACAGCAATATCAAAGGCGCATGACGTCATAAAAGTACTGCCATCGTCAATTCGCCTGCCAAGAGTGACGGTTAAAGCGAGAGTGACGTTTACGTTTGCAGATGAAGAAACTGAAGAAGTTAGAGACGATATTTCTATGAGTTACAGTGTCCACTAATCAGGTGAACAGTCTGCTCGTTTCACACTTACTTTTATAAAAAAGGTAAGGCTTGTACACGTGGTAGAGCTATGCTGTAGCTAATTGATGGCTATAGTACGAATAGGTCTGCTTGACCGGGGAAGAACTACGCCCTCACAGAATACTAGCGTAAAATGGCACCTCAATGTTGCTGTTTCGTATGGCGAGTGAAAAGAGCCGGAGACCCTTTTTACGGGAAACGAGGCATTCATCTTTGTCTTCAGGGATAAAAATGCCTCTGCGTTTTGATTCTTAATTGAGGCTAGATGTATATGTTACAACCACTTACTATCAGGTGACCGTGTGCTCGTTTGCCACCCTTATTCTATAAAAAAATGGGTCGTCACATAGAAAAAACAGCCCTCTACAACCCTCTTATTTTATTATTAATCTTTATAGTTTTATATTTATCAAATCATAAAGTCATATAAATAATACATAAACTTGTTCACAGTACGACCAGCGCAGGCGCACACACAAGTTTTCCCACTTCCCGGGGGCTTTCCTTGGGCGCACAGTTCGAGAGGTGAGTTAGAAAAGACGTGTAAGTATGAAACCCTAGAATGGCTAGAACCCAGAGCCGTAAAGCCAGTTTATAAAAAAATATCGTAGTTACTAAGGTATACTCTAAGTTACGCTTACGCTTAACAATCATATGCATATGCGCACTCACAAACGTTCATACGTTTGTGAGTACGCATATACACACATAAGCACACACGAATGTAAACATAGTATCTAAACCTTATGTCTAGAGCTTTTTAAATCACTGAGGAGATTAAAAAAGATCGAATCCCACCAGTCACTTATTCAATCATACCACTATCGTTTTCTAAATTTATTTCGTTTATCCATCCATTACAGATTACAGTCAATAACAGTCCACGGCTAAACATATTTTGCCACAGTTGCCACGCTTGAGAAGCGGGTTGGCAACCGCAGTTTATCATCACTTTGTTGCAGTTTCCCTCTGTTGCCCTTTACTACACCCACGGGATGATATGGAGTAGTGGATATTCTTACACCGTCACTACACAGTAAGAAAACTACTATTTGTATAAATTTAATGAAAACAATTAAGCATAATCTTGTACGTAATAAGTAAAATAATACGGGGCACTCTATTTTAGTCCCCAGGGGTGACAACTTAATCAAGGATAGATGTTGATTTACGTGGTAGAGCCATGCTGCAGCAATATTGTGGTTGCAGCACGAATGGGTCAGCCCGACCGGGGTAGGGCCACGCTCTTACAGAATACCAGCGGAAAATAGCAGCTTAATGCTGCTATGTTTCGTATGATGAGTGTTGAGAACCGGATACCCTTTTTACTGGAAACGGGGCATTCTTTCTCAGTCCTCAGGGATGACAATACATCAGCATTTTGATTCTTAATTGAGGATAGATATAGATGTCTATGGGCCACAGCATCCACTTACCATCTAGTGGAATGTGTGTTCGTTTCTTCACCATTATTATAAAAAAAACACGGCGATTATTCATTGATAATAATAAAATTATTATTTGTCCTTATAATGTTAAGGTAAGCCTCGACGCGGTATGATGCGACGAGCCGTCTTCTCGGACCTGCAACGCAAGGGGCTGGAGAAGCGGTTTCAAGTACAAAAATATATCTCGAAGCCCGACAGGAAGAAGCTGGCTGAGAAGCTCGGCTTGAAGGATAGTCAGGTGCGTGTTTTGTTTACAGTTTATAGTAATTGTATACTTTTCTGTACGTCGTAACCAGGTTCTAAGAAATAATTTACATGAAATGAAACAAATTTAATCGCGTTGAATAATAACTTAAAGGAGGAGGTTCTCAATTCGAGTGTGTTTTTTTGTATGTTACGCGATATGTTCGCAGATTGTGAACCAATTTTTATGAAGTCGGTTTTTACTTTCTGTTAAAATTTACTATTATTAATTCCCGAAGTTTCGGGCACTTTACAGCACTCATGGTAACACTGGGGAACTGATCTGTTTGACGTTCTGATGTCATACTTTACGAAAGCTACTTTCATAATAATAAAATGTTGAAGTAAACATCGAGGAATTGCAGAGGTTAAAATTAACGCGATAAAATTCGTATAATTGATTTTATTTCATGTGTAATATTCGCGTGAATATAAGATATGAATAATTTACATAATATTACTCGTACTTGGGTTAAGTTATGATATTATTACAATGTACGATATTATTACGACAGCATCGTAGCGCTTAGCACTGAGTCGCTAAGGACCGCGGGTACGAATCCCGCACAGAACAAGCATTTGTATGGCCTAAAAATAATTGTTTCGGGTCTGGATGTTTGTCCTTGTGAAATTTATGAATGTAAACTACCTCCACGGTACAGGAGAAAAGCCTAATGGGGTCACGTCTTATAAAAAAATAAGAAAGAAGGAAAATAAATTTATCTTTTTTATCTTTTGATTGAAATACATTAAGGAACGATAAGAAATACAAACAACAATAAATACGCAATACAATCTTCAACACTGTAACGGTAAGCCAACGTTAACGGAACACAAACGCGCGCGTAAGGCTCTAGGGGAAATAGTAACTGGGGTGTTACAAAAAATTGTTACCCCAAGGGTATAATAGAAGGGAGGGGTCTGTCAGACGCAGGCGGCTAGGGGTGGAATGTTTCCGCCCCTACCGCCCGGGAAAGGACGCTTTAAAACAATTACCGGCTCCTGAACTCGATATTTGCATTTTGAATCTGTGCGTGCAACCATAGAGTTCGATTAGGTCTTTTTGTTGGCTGAAAGGGTGGTGGCCTTCGCCTTTTCCGCGCGAGTGTGGAGGCATTTTTGACAGTTTTTGTTTTTATAATTTCTATTTTAACATTTTTGCGGGTGTAATTTTATTACTATGGAAATATTTTTTTATTATTTTGCAGATCTTATATTATAAAATAGCTGTAAAACGTAGTGATTATATACATACATACATATATACTCTTTGCTAGCTGTATCCGGCCACACGTTTCCGTTGCCAAAAAAGTTTTTAAACAATAATGAGATACATTTTAATTAAATAGATTTAAATATATGCATACCCGACTGAGACAACCTAATGGCTTAGTGATAAGAGTACCATAGCATCAAATAGCAGGTGCGGGGTTCGAATCCTAAGCAAATTCAATATTTGTAGGGTACATATGTAATAGGTTCGTTTTCGAGTCTAGTTGTTGATTTTTATAGAATAAAGGTGCAAAACGAAAAAAAAATTCACTAGTTGCGTTATCACTCCTGAGGACTAAGATGGAAGTCCTTGTCACTAATAAAACTCTACAAAGCAAACTCTGGCAACTCTGGCAAAGTATTCACAGAGAGTATTTTATTTAACGCACGAGCACAGATATTTTATGTTTTTTTTATACATATTTAAAAAACTATTTACACGATAAATTTACATACATCTACTATTACTTAACTATTTGCTTCTACATCTTTCATAATACAAAAATTATTTACAATTTTCTTTTCTTAACTCAATTACTTTACAGTGCATCAATGGCTTCGTGGCGCATTAGCTTAGGATTGAGTTGTTGCGCTGGGGGCCGCGGGTTCGAATCCCGCATGGAACAAGTATTTGTATGTATTGTATCTACAAATAATTGTTCCGTGTCTGGATATTTGTCCTCGTGCAATTTATGTTTGTAAACTGTCTCCACGATAGGTACAGTAGAAAATCCTAGTGTGGGGTAATGTATTTTTTTTAAACGAAAACAGAAAGAAAAATATACATTACTATTCATATAAATACATTATTTCTTTTGCGCTCTTCGCGTTTTTTTTTTTTTTGGTTATACTCTTTACATATCTACATGTCGTTACGCCTTGCATACTTTTTTTCTCACACTACATTAGTTTATGTATTATTTGCATTAGTACATAGTTACTACTACGTTACTATTGCATTTAACATTATTGTATCTAACTATAGTTGTCTACTCTTACTACAGTATTTTCATACTCTACTATTAAACTTATTTACTCCGCTACTCTGTTCTCACACTTTGTTTCTTAAGCCTATTGACATGTTACCTACAACTCATATCTACACTACTGTTGAACCATTCTCCTTCAGCACTCTGAGTACAACAGTACTCCGAGCGTGTTAGATAGATATTCCTCCATTCCATATTAGAATTATATAGATCCTTACCTATATTATTCCACTATGGAAGCAGAGTTCCTTGCGTCTCTGTACTATTGGCGCTCGGAACTTCGACATTGAGGGTATCGTCCTTCTCCCAGAGAGTGGCAAACGCAAAAGCTTCACGATCGGCAGCTTATCCTTGAAAAGTGGAAAGAGCGTCTAGCTCACCCGAAAGCAGGAAGCAGGACTGTTGATTCTGTTCGTTCGGTCTTGCTAGACTGGTTGAACAGGCGGCACGGTTCACTGACCTTCCGGCTGGTACAGTTTCTTTCCGGGCATGTGTGCTTTGGTAGGTATCTGTGCCTTATAGCCGGAGAGCCGACAACCGAGTGTCATCATTGTGGTAGCGACGAGGAAACGGCGCAGCATACCCTTGAGGACTGCCCAGCGTGGGCCGAGTTGCGTCGTGACCTCGTGGATGTAGTGGGGATGACCTCTCGCTCTCAGCTTTAATTAAGGTTATAGTTGGATGCGAAAGGGTGTGGAGTGCCCGCATAACCTTCTGCGAACAAGTGATGTTGCGGAAGGAGGCTGCGGAGAGGGAGAGAGAAAGGACGGCAGATACCCCAATCCGCAGCCGGAGAGTTGGGCGCCGGTTAGCATAGCATATCAAGCTCTACTACACCCACCACAATTGACGCTTAGGTGGCGGTCACAGCGACTGTCCGTCGTCTTTTAATGCCTCGAGGTGGCACGCACGATGTTTTCCCGTGCGCCCCTAAATGAAGAAGGAGTGGAGCTCCATCTCCACTGGAGTCGAACTCCAGCTACACTCCGTCATCTCATGTCATTGTCATGTAAGGGCTACCGCCATCTGGGCTGCGGTAGTGTGTGATAGCGTTCCCGTAGCCCCGACCAAGGGCGAAGAGATGAACACCGTGGAGTTATAACCGGTAGGTGTCTGGCATAGCCTATCAGTCGCCTTCGCGACAGGCCGGTATCCATGAGGATTTCCTGAGGTATATAAAAAAAGGAGTTAGGACAAGAAAGTAGGTGAGCCTGCAACGTACTACAGTGTAACCTTGATATAACAAGCCTCAATATAACGAATTCCTCGATTTAACGAATTTTTCGAAAATCCCTAGAACTGACTGTAAGAGCTATAATGCAAAATATAACCCTACATTACGAATACATTTATCAAGAACCTGTTTATAAGAATTTTTAATAATTGCAGAATATAGATAGAAGATATTATTTACCTCTACTTAACCAATTTTTTTCAAATTGAAACCTTGACATAATGTATCCTATTAATTATTCCCACTTAATTCCACAATAAATCATGTCTTGACATGTTCAGACACGTACACGACAGGCAGATCACTAGTAACATAATGCTGAGGTTAATAAACAAGTTTTCGTACCTTGTTAAAACGAATCGTAGTTCCACCTAACCTCTATATAGCGAACCTCTTTATAATGAATTACTTGTTATAACAAATACTTTCTAATTCCCTTCAGTTTCGTTATATTGAGGTTGCACTGTATACCTATATGTCCTGCGCAGTTGTTCAGATGTGCTCACCGTGTCTCTCTCACGTCGCAGAGACGAATTTGCCTTGTTTGCAAGTGAATTAACTCCTACAGTAAATAGCAGTAAAATACCATATTTTTAAATAATTAAACTGACAAACGAACTGACTGTCCACCTGATAGTATGTCGCCCCTGCAACTGGTGGACACCTGCAACCTGCTTCAATTAAAAAGGCTACAGGTGCATTGTTACCTCTGATGACTAAGATGGAATAACTCACAGCTGACATTATACTGGCTCTATAACGTTCAGACTGGAACACAGAAATACAAGCACTACTGTTTGGTGGCAGAAATAGATAAGATAGTTTTTTTAATAGGATAAGTGTGACAAACGAGCACACAGTCCACCTGATGGTAAGTGGTTGCTGTGGCCCATAGACATCTACATCTATCCTCGATCACGAATCAAAATACAGATGCGTCGTCACTCGTGAGGGCTTGGAATGCCTCGTTTCCAGTAAAAATGGTCTCTAATTCTCTATACTCACCATACGAAACACAGCAGTGTTAAGCTGCTATTTTACGCTGGTATTCTGTGAGAGCGTGGTTGTTCCCCGATCGAGCCGACCCATTCGTGCTACAACTTTACTACTAATATAGCTGCACCATGACTCTACCACGTATAGACCTAACATTATACTGGCTCTAAGCCCTTTAGACCCATATAGAAAGGGTAAGTGGGTGCCACGTGACTCCTGGGCAGAATATAAGTCCCACCATATAGCTACCATGCTTTGAGATACGAGATGTTATAGGTAATACAATTTTGTATAAAAAGGTGTATTATAATATTAAGGAATTTGTGGATGATAATAACCCCTGGGAATGAATTGATCGCTACCAAGCTATTTCTAATTTATTTTGTGTTAATGGTGTAACATACATAACTGTTTATATAACTTCTTATTTAAAAATCTATCTACGTGGTAGAGCCATGCTGCAGCTATATTAGTAGTATAGGTGTAGCACGAATGGGTCGGCTT